ATACATCGTGACATCGTCGCTCAATCGGAAGATGACGAATCAGAGACAACCGGCTTCACTTCGACGTCCCAGTGCGATGCTCATGTGCTGCCACTTTACCGGAGACAAGGCTGACGTATATATGCAGACGTCAGCCGAGTCACGAAGACCCGCTTCAGAGACCCGTTCAAAAATCAAGATTCCGGGCATGGGAGAGGGTGGAGAGCCAAGAAGGAAAGGCTTTGCAGGCGGCGGCTAGCCCAGCAGAGTGGCAGCCGGAATGGAGCGCTCTTAAGATAGAAGCTGCTTAAGAGGATGTGATCGCGGGGCCAGCTAGTATCCGGGGCGGAGATTGTGCTGACGTTTCTTACCAACCGCGTCTCCGTTCCGCTCTTTTGTAGACCACCGCCAGGATGGGTTTAAAACCGAGCGCATGGAATTTCCAATCGAGGCTAAAGCGTCTCGCAGCTTTGGGTTTTCCCAGGATCCTATAAGGCAACATACGTTAGTTCTTGCCGAACAGATTTAGGCGGAGTACGCCGAGCAAGAGCGAAGTCCGAAAAGCGGAAGGGCAAGCAGCTGCTAGAGTGGCAGCTACTAGCCAGTTTGACGTCGAGAGGATGGCTAGTAACCAGCAAGTAATAACAACAGGGTCTTAGTCCACGGATCAAATCAGTAAATTAAAGCTGGCCGTCGACGCTGCACGGTCGACACCGTGGGGGCCCCGGCACGGTTGTTGGGAGGGCTGGGGTCGAATGAGGTGGGAAAGAACCACAAGTCAGGCTTCCCGGGCATAAACTACTTTGTCAGATTTATGCAAATGACGAGGCTCACGCCAGGGCGGTGCAAGCTTCGGGGGCGAGTTTTGGGTCCGGAATTGAGCACCGTTCGCGGATCAGCGAAACCTCGTCTCAGCAGCTGGGGCCACCGAGCTCCACTCGACTTACTCAAAGAACGGGACAAGCTTCCAACCGACTGCGGGGACAGTTGTTTTGGCAACAGCGCAGCGCCCGCAAGCGGCGACGCGCTTTGTCAGCCGCAATGTCCAGTATCGCCGCAGATGTAAAAGGGCCGGGCAGGTTCAAAGCTTTGAAAGGAGATGCGACGCGGCTGTCGAGTGTTAGCTCGACAAGTTTTAAGCAGGCCGCTTTGGCTACGGCTACGGCCGCGTGCTTTTCAGCCCATCCCGCCCCTTCCAGCGGGCCCGCTCTAGTTGCCCATTATCCCACCCGAATCCATCAAACTCCTTCTCGAGCCGATCTTTTGACGCGGCAGACGGCACGCGGCCGCCTGCCCCGGCGAAAACCCCGCCACACCCTTGGGTCTCCGGCTTCTTGTCGGGGCTGCCGAGAATTGTTTGTATCATCACGGTGGACGGGCCATCGCCGGTTGATCCTTTCCCCCGACTGATCAGCAAGTTCACATTCTTTTCTGAAAGCTTCGTAGAGAACCTGAACCGGTCCGCCAAGTTGATATTCCCCATGTAATCAGCCACACAATCCATTTGGGCTCAAACGAGACGGCACACGTGGCCGGACTCTGAACCGGGCGGTGGCTTAGACCTGATGACGGGGCAACTCTGCACAGATTCCGCCCGGAATAGCTGGCCCCATCGAATTCTCCATCATTCCGCCCGAAGAGGCGCCGCCACGACGCCTTTCTATCTATCCTCCACCTGTCCCTCCCCGTCCCTTCTTAGACCCTGGGTCTAAATCGTCATCTGTCACCCCGCTGACGCCAGCATACGTCAGCCTCATCTTCTGTAGCTGAGCGGCAGCCGCCGGGGCAACTTATCTCCGTCAAAGGATGTCCAGAGCCGTCCGATTCTGCTCCGTGATCGTCCGATTGAGCGGTGACCCTGGAACCGTGGCTCGAAAACGTCCACAGCCCCCCGGCTGGACGTTCCTTATCTTGACCCGCCACTCTTTATGGCTGCTAGGTTTACTTACAGGACTGAGCCTCGATTTACCAATCTCGACCGGTTATCCGTGACCCTCCAATTTGAAGAGGACGTCCTTGCTACTTATCAAGCGCATCCGTAATCTTTCTTGGAAGATGCAAATTCAAAAACCACCGCCAACGAAGCAATCTCAGTGGATCAAAACCGCAAACGGGCGAAAATCTTGGCTGCTTTCCGCTCCGCCGGAGTCAGCTCCGGTCCTCATCACTTTTCTCTTTCCTTGCGCACTCCGTTTCGCACTCCGTACGTCCCAGACTATCATTCCGTCCGGTAGTGTCAGCGTATCTTGTTTCTTGAAGCAGCTTGGCGGAGTTGTACTCAGACTGTCCGCACACCAGTTAAACACCGGCAAAAGAAGTGACATCCAGTTTCTGAGCTCATGCGGCGTGCATCTTCATCGGCAATATGGCTCAAGAAAAGCCATGGTCGGGAGCTGCTGACAGCGCGTCGAGGGATTGAAAGAGGCAGACTGTTTTGAAAGGAGGGTCTTTCTGGCTGAGCCGTTCTGATCACGCTCGGCGCTCTCAGCACACGCAGCCTCGCGCCTGCGGATACTACGTGCTTTTTTCCAATCTTTAAAAGTGGGTTGTCACTGATGCAGTTGAGCGAATACCATCTTTCATATTCGGCACTACATTGTCCGGCCGGTTGTCAAAAAGCGCACTACGATTTGCCCGGGGCCCGCAAGATACGGGGCTGTTCATCCAGCGGGGCCACGTCAAATGTACGGAATTGAACTGGCCAATGAAACAGGGGTGGTACATAT